CTACATATACAACAATGATCACCTTGGCCACAATGCTCTTTTCAGGACCCACTGTGTACCTTCCAATCGCGTTCCGGGACCGAGCTGCTGAGATATACACGTCAGATTATGCGCAAGTCAACAGGGACGTGTTACAAAGTTGGATAGAAAACAAGTATGGGCTCTTTTCTGATAAGTGCTTGATTTCCTCTGAAGACGAATCACTAGTGAAAGATGCTATAAAGGGTAGAAAACACGTGTGAGCAGGGTACAGCATCGTTGTCTGAGACACATGGAGAGGTCGTACTTTTCCGCTGGGGAAGGAAATCGTATTTGATCGTCGTTGGGAGAGGGGGAGGGGTCCTAATGCCGTTTGGACTCCAGAAATTTCGGCTGCGAGCTCATTTTCAAATTGCCGAGGTCACCAAGTCCACTAAAAACTTGTATATAGGGGTACATCCTGATGACGATGACACTCATTCTTGGCGCTGGCGCCAAGAGAGGACACTACGATTACCTCCTGGGCTCAGCCTTAGCAGAGCGCAGGTAACCGTAGTGTCATCCATTAGCGCCAGCGCCAAAAATGAATGTCATATTCGTGATCAGGATGTTGAATTACCCCTATATACAAGTTTTTAGCGGATTTGGTGATCTTGCCACTTTTAAAATGAGCTCGAAGACGAAATTTCTGGAGTCCAAACGGCATTAGCCGAGGTCCGTACTGGAGAGGGTTTCGCGTTGGGGAAATCTTCCATTTGTTGATTTTCCTGTTCTGATTACTATCAATGAACCCCCCCCCCCACCTCTTGACAGCGAGTTTTATTTGAAAAATGTGAATATGGTGGGAAATTGGTAGGTAGGTGTTGGGCGAGGGGGAGGGTGCGTATGACACACCATTTTCACACATCACGATGTTGTACCCTGCGTATGAGCCCTTATTATAATAATCAAGTGACCTATTTTTCAGGTCATCCTTTGACTGGTCAAATGTTTGCGATTGGATCGCCAGTATAGAAGCTTGTGGCGAGACCCCATCAAGGATGCAACAAACTGCGAGGGGAAAAATGAAAGCTGTTTTAGAGGTTCGATTCAGAGGTACTCTAGAAGTGTAGGCAGCAGAGCATCCCTCTGAACTTATTCACCTTCGGGGGAGAGTCCCTACAGTCTTGCTTGCTTCAAGTTGGGGCTTCTCAGTGAGGCAGTTTTTGGCGCGTCGCCAGCCCGTTCTCCATCAAATTGAAGTGGAAAACCAGTGGAAAACGACTGAAACGAGCGATATTATACACTCTTCTCGTTAGCTGAGAGTGAAAAAAAAGAAGAAAGAGAAAAAAACGGGCTGGCATTGACTAGACCCATCCCCTTTTCCCCATGACACGCCTCATCATTCGCAGCAAACAATGCTGCACGTATTAGGTCATCCCATTCAAACCGGCTGATGGTTTTTTTAAAAATAAAACAAAGAGGAGAAATAGAGTTAAGGAAAAGTGATATTTTAGCTTTAGGATGAGTAAATCCCTCCTTCACCAATGACCCGCTCCCAGTGCCCGAGGGCCTTTGGACCTCTGGTACTTTCGATTTTTCAACAGTGTGTGTTAAATTGCTGTTGTTGCCAATTTCGGCAAATGACAAAACATTGTAGCGTCTGCCGTCGGAGAGTACTCTCAACTGAATAGAACAGTTGTAATCGCATGGCTTTATGACGGGCGAATGGGGCGATTGAACCCAGGTCTCAGTATTGTTTGTGTCCCAGCACTGATCTACAATACAGTTACTCGGGGTCTGGCACTATGACGAGCAACGGTGGCCTTCTTGTAGTTGTGTGGTAGCATCCATTTGTCGATCTGAATGCCGAGGAACAGGCAATATGCACACAGTGACGGATTTGTCTCTGTATAGCAGCGCTTGAAAGCCACAGTGTGGGAATCCTTTGCTATGATGATCATCCACTTGCGCCCACGTAACTCTTCATGGTAGAACTCGGGCGGCTTCTCATCTGCATTCATACAAAATTGACGATTGTGAGTTTCGGCTCGAGGTCCGAGACCACCCATATTTCATCTAAGGCCTGGGTGCGTTTTCACAGTTGTGAGTGACATCTCATGCTGAGAACATTACTGCTAGAGGTATAGAATCGGTACTGCGTTCGTGCTTCTATAAGAAAATTGGGTACCCATGCGCACACCCCTTGACCATCCTCAGTTTATCGGTCATAACACGTACAGTAATTGCAGCAGGGATGTCAGTCTCGCGGGGAAACCCGACAAAGGTCCAGGCTCTGTGATCAGATATTCAGGGTGCTGATTCATCACCCGTTTTTTGTGCAGGCAGATGAATATTATGGGATCATCCACGACAACAAATTTTTTCCTTTCTTCCTTGTACGGGCTCCTGACCAAATCTTCCACCGTGTGTTTCGAGAACACCCTTACACACAACTATGGTCCGGCGCAGGTCAAATTTGAGCAGCGCACTTTCCTCTTATGACGTCTGATTTGAAAAAGCCGATTTTCATCACTCAGGCTTCTTATCTATTTCTCGAGAACTTCTTCTAGGGGTAGATTCGCCAAATTTCACAGATACACAGCTTAAGGTACTAGCTTCCAAATGGTATAGTAGCCCGCTGCTCTAACCCCTTTGCTTTTCTGCCATTCCTCTATATGTAGCGGCCAGGGATGACCTAATACATACATTCTAGCGCTGCGCCAGAGTATTTTATAAAAGATTGTCCGCCCATAGTGGCAGAGAGGGTGGAACAACGGGCGCCAAAACACCGCGGCAAAAACGCGGCTGGTGCGCAAGGAACACTCCACTCCACGCTCTGTCAACCTATATTTTTGAGATTTTCTATTTCCAGGTGGACGTACAAAAGACACCTGTCATTCAAGGTGTACATTGGCAGCGTGAGGGTTCTAAAATTCCGGAAAAATTCCAGGTTCGTATCTATATTCAGTATCCCGGAGATGGGGAGGGCGTGGCATCGCGCCTCTTTTGAACGTGGCAGCGGCTGCGTTTCAAGAGGGATATCGCCGTTCGGCGCAACTGTAACTTTGCCTTGGCCCAACACAAGACAGGATGACATCGTCCCAAAAAAAATGACGCACCCTACGACATGTCTCCAGTGCATGACGCAGCCACGCTTCTCATTCTCCACACATGGTGTGGTCCATGGCAAAGGACACATGGTACGATAACACATAGTCTTCGGTGTGCGTGGACTACCGCCCCCCCCCCACCCAGCTGTTGAAGCCGTGAGCGATTTCCCCTTCTAACATGCGTTAGGAATGGAGATACAGGACAGCGCTAATTCCTCACGTGCTCCTGCCCAATGCCTTCTCTAATGCACGCAGACTCCCGTTTATGCTAGACAGCCGTCCACGCGGCGCGTGTCGCGCGCAGCGCTCTTGACACTTTGCCAAAAAGTGTAATTGCGCTTTGGGACTACGAGTAAAACGCGATTTCCCGATGCGAATAGCATTTGAGGTGGCTGCAAAATAAGAACCGAAGATGATGGCGAGGGTCAGAACCTCAACAGCATGTTTCTTGAGTACCCTCGGAGGCAGCGCATTCCCACAGAACATGAAAATAAAAAGCCGGAATCGCGCCGAATTGCAGACATTTACGCGCGCTATTAATTTATTTGCATTTACTTGATTTTTTTCATTTTTGTTTTATAGGTAATCATACATTCGTTGTCTTCATTTCTAGCCTTTGTCATCTTCATCACCTTCTATTCGGACTTTGCAGCATGAAGCAACACCTCAAATGTTATCCGCATCAGGAAATTGCGTTTTACTCATTCCGAAGCGCAATTACAGGACTTGAAGTGCCAAAAGCGCTGCTCGCGACACGTGCCGCACGGATGGCTGTTAGCATAAACGGGAGTCTGCGCACACAAAAGACATTGGACGGAGCATGGAGGAATTAGCGTGTTACAAGGTCCAGTATCTCCATTCCTGTGCATGTTAGGACGGGGGAACCGCTACGCTTCGACAGCTGGGGTCTGATGATGTCACGCACACCCTAACTATGTGTGGTCGTACTATGTGTCTTTAAGTCACCCTGAACCATGAAATGATCCCTTTACAGGTGGTGTCCACAGTATTTTGCACTGGAGTACTCTGCCGGACACGTTGAGGGAGATACAACGAGGCAGTACGAGGGTGATGTAGTCTTAGTTGAATGTGGAGGATACCTGGTGAGCTCTAGCTTTTTTTTGTGAAGTGCCAGTCTGTCCACATATATCCTCCCAATCACAGCTTCAAGGCGGTGTAACAGACGCTACGACGTACAACTTCGGTGGAAAAGTGTTCAAATGCCATCGTCTGCAACGGAGTCATATCGAGGAATCACTAGAGGTTAGGCCTCTTTGGCGCCATATCCTGAAGATTAGGAGGGTGTGGCCGAGTTCTTCATTCGAACATGGCGAGAGGAGATATGATGCGCTTCTAATGGGATATTTTCATATGAAACAAATGTCATTCTGCGTTGCGCTGAACGAGGACATTATTACAAATGTCCCTAAGCGAAAAAAATCCCTGCTAGAAGCGTAGCCGTCGCCACTTCGAAATAAAGCCTGCAGCCACGCCCGTTCCATATCTGGGATATGGAGTGTGGAAAACGAATGTCGATTGTGCAGACAATTTTGTACCCCTTTCACATTGACGGATTTCCAAGCGTAGGGGAAGTCGGAGAGCGAAACCAGAGCTACCAATGCAAGGGGCAATGAAAGACACTTCTTACGCTGATCGTATGGGGGGAAAGGAACATCCTTGCAGATCTCGGCAAGGAACAGACATGTAATTTTCGTCAGGAAATAGAAAGAAATGTGCTAAATCTTCCCCCTCCCTCTTGCCCGAACGGCTTCCAGGCGCTTCCGAGGCAGTGAGACACATTTAGCATTCAGCCTTCAGCCTCATCAGATATTCACTAGAGCGCTCATGATTGTAGCCAATGCTGGTTACCTGCTAAAAACAAGGAGATGACATAATGTACCACAAAAGTCTTGTTCATTGCAAACGTGGTCCAGTGCCCCTGTCAAGAGAAAGAACACTTGCAAATGACGTCACATAACGTGTTGGTGACGTGTTCTTTGCATTAATGCAAGACGTAAATTTTTTTCGCGTTATGAAGGTGTGTGACAGTGCTGCTCGCTGCGAATCTGATGGGCGCATGTCCTTGGTTAGGGTGGGGAGTTGGCGCGGCACCAATCTGTTGTTCATCATTGTTGAAACAGGCAAGCGACAACGAGTGAAAAACGAACTGTCATCGCTCCAAATCCAAACCCCTTGAACACCCCCACCCACCATCTGCAACGAACAGGACTGTAACACCTCCATCACGAAGTAACTTGTGTAACATATCTGCCAATGTGACAAGACACGTCATCAACACCCTACATGACGTCATCGGTATGTCATCTATCTCTTAACGCGTAAGTACTGGAACCGTCTAACAAGCATAGGGGCCATTACATCAGTGCAGAAGTCTATTTTCAGGAAAATGGAATGTCAATCACGGCCGAAGATGGATACAAGTTCATTACGCATGAAGATATCTTCCTCTTGGTTTCAAAGAAAATTAGATAACATTTATTTGAATAGGATTTCACATGAACAACAACATCAAAACAAGTTACTTGTAAACATATTCAACCAGTATCAATACAACGTCTACTACATCATATCACTATCGTCATCGACGATCCTTTTTGTCCTTCTTGTGTTTCTTTGACTCCCTGCAACGAAAGAACGGAACACTTGCAGATGATTGGTGGAGTAGACAATAAACTTACCTTTCTCTACTCCGGGAATCACTTGAATGTCTCCGCTTTTTCTTCTTCTCTCTTTCCTTGCTACGAGATCTACTGAAATTAATAAGTAATGTGTGAAATCACAGTGAAAAGAGAAAAGCCGGGGAATACGTGAAAGGGAGAGCGTCAAGGATCTACGGAAAAGGAAAGGAATGGAGAATCCGCAAAACAGATTACGGATCGAATGGCTTCTGATTCGATGACTCTCCAACTTTGTGGGGTCAATCGATAACTATCTAATCTTCTTCGGGGGTTTCGCGATTCTCCAAATCAATAAGTACACCCCTTCCTGTGAAATTTCGATTCCCGCGTCGCAAGGTATTGACGCAGCATTATTTAGAGAGCAAACCATTTTCGGTAACTTTTACAACGTAAAGGCTTTAACCCGATTCTCTGATCGTGTCTGCTTCATCAGATCCCACTGAACACTATCTCGTGGAAAAGATGAGCAAAAAAACGTGGCTGAGCCTCGCTACAGACCAGAGACCCTCCCCTCTATCCCAATTACTTAGGACAAAGACCAACTGCGTCTAAACATAGAGGAGAAAATATGTAAAACTATACCTCCTCGACTTCCTATGCTTGTGTTTCTTGGACTTTTCCTTTTTCTCTTTTTTCTCCTTCTTCTCTTTCTTCCGTTTCCCGCGCATATCATCACGATCTTTTTCGGCTTCATCTTCGCTTAGGCGTGACGGTAGTTTTGCTTTGTTCTTCGGATTTTTTCGTTTCAACCCTTCCAAGAAGTGCACCAATGCGGCTGAAAGAGATAGGGAAATAGGAAATTTCGAAAAAGCTCGCTATATCCAAAGATAGTGGGCACGATGGCTTGAAGCGAAAGGTTGCCGCCAACATCACTGATGGAACGGCTGAGTGGGGAGTGGCCAAACGCCCTCGTATAGCCTTTCCGCCAATGACGCTGGCAACAGCAACCCGCCTCCAGCAATTGTGCCCACTGCCTTAATGCTTTCAAGATGATAAGAAACGTACCTGTCAATCAATTTGTCCACCATTTCTAAGGAAGTTTTTTTCCTTTTCGCATCCTCTTCAGCCAGTTGCTGTAAAACACGACAAATAAGTGACCCGATGGTTGAAAAGCCTGATCAACTTACTCTTTCAATTTCAGCTTTCTGAGCTTCGAGCTCTCGAATTCGTGCTTCTTCTTGTTCTCGGAGTTTTTTGACACGCTTTTCATTCAGCAGCCGTTCCATGAAAATGCGAGCCTTGAAAATAACTTATTAGAAAGAATTACGGTTTCGCTTTGAGAAAAAAAAATTATGTATCACTGCTGAGACTCCTTTAACCTACCTTTTCTTTCCTATCCAAAACTGGGTGTTGCTTGGAATGTTTTTTGGTGGAACTGGAGGTGGAAGTATCTTAAACGAGAGCATCGAGTAACTCACAACATTTAAGTGAACAATGAAAACATTGACCCGTTTGGCGACGGGGGGGGGGTATTTTGCACCTTCCGCTGCTTCACTAGTTAGTTTCGCTTTACATGCCTCACTAGTTGAAAAACCTGAAATCTTGCGAAGCTGAAGCAACTCCGTTGAGTCACCATGGTAAACGGTGTTTCATGGCTTTCCAAGAGTTGTCAGGCGAACTCCACACTTTGACTGACATCATTTCGTGGCTTCACAAGATTTCACAGGTCTCCAGCTGGTGGCTTGAGGGAAAGTAGTAAAAGGCAAAATGGCCCTCCGATCAACCCAAAAGATTCAACGTTGCAACATTACGTGAGGACTGGTGTCAGTAGGTTGTTTGATTCTATTAGGTAAGCGGTGATAAAGTGCGTACGGTCAACGAGACACACTGCAGCGCGTCGTTCCTGCGGGATGCGAGCCTCTAAAAAAACAAACTCTTATATTATCCCCTCTTATTAGTATGGATGAAAACCTCAATCGGTACAAACCGATCGGGCACACTCACCCAGTTGACGAACACGGAAGCTCTTCCTTTATAGGAGCTAGACTGAAAGAAACAGGAACGGAGGGGAATGGTCTAGATGGCTGCACGGCTGATGAACCGCCGTCACTCACGGCTCCGGCATCTTCCGCAATTGGCTGAACTACTGGGGTGGTAAGAAGAGCAGGCGATGAACTCACTTTCGGTATCTGAAAGTTGATGTTTTTTTTTTTCAGAGGCTTTCAAGATGAACAAGATGGATAGGCTGACGAAGTGGTTTTAAAATCACGCCCCCCCCAACCTGCGAAAGGATCGGCTAACGCCTATGCAGCCATGGATCTTACAAATTCCTACAGGTTGAGTGGTTGCTACACGAAAACCATCTTGGAGTCTCCGCCTCTGCTTTCTATTCAACAGTGGAACAGCGGGATCTATAAAAAAATTTAGTAGGAATGATTACTTTCGAAAGTAAGTTGGAATTTCTTAGCCCGATAACGGGAACCGGTGAAAACCTGATATGAAACCCTCGCTTACAGTCGCTTGATAAGCGTACAGCAGGCGACTCAGTTGCTAGGTAGGTCGTGTGTCGGGTTCAAATCGCGAACTATGAACACCCTCCGAGGCACGAATCCGACAGCCTAGAGCAGCTGTCGGTGTCTGGTTACTCTGTCTATGCGCTACTGTCAACGGTTACGGTGTGTTGGGATTTCAGTGAGGGAAGTGTAATGGGCCGCTTGTAGTGGGTGGGGGAGCACGTGCGTTATTACACCCGCCTGCCCTCGCCGGGACGGATTTTGGAAACAACTGCTTAGAATTCCGGAAAAAGATCTGCTTAAAAAGTAGTAGGAAGTTGGGTTGATATATATGTAGCCTGCCATCTCAACCAGAAGAAGGCTCTGTGATGGGGCCCATACAATGACTTGTGGGGCCAGCCAGATGACAAGGTTGTTATCCTCCCAGACGAATCTGATTTCATTCTCGGGGTAGAGATCCTGGTTGGTTTGGGCGAAGTGGACCAAGGATTTGATCCCCGGACCATGGGCGTGGTGGCGAGCCACTTGCGTTTACACCACCTCCGCTTAGACCTCTGAAAATACGACACAACGGAAAACCAGCCGGTTTATCTTAAGCAATAAGTACCTTGCGGAAGTGGAGAGGATGTCGAAGGTGCGCAGACCTCCTCCGAAAATTTACAAATCCTACCTAGTGCAGCCCTCTGCCCGACTCCTACTTTCCGCTACTTTTTCGAGTTTACCCTCTAGACACTATTCCGTACCTGTCACACGCTGCTAACACGTATCCTCGAGTTAATACACATTTCAGTACCGCTTCTCTCTTATACATTGTCATACCCTAGTCTACAATCGCACTCCTCCTGGCATATCACGTCCATACTCCCCGCCTGTACAAATAATTCTATCCAGCTCCAGAACATTTTAACTTCACTATACATTAGACACCATCTATTCGTCTCTTGGAATCGCTCCACATTCAGAGCCACCTTGATACCCTTCCCCGTACCTAGTCGGGACCCTCTGCCTTCCTCCCATCGCTTATGTCTCTCACCTTGTCCAATTCCATGTCGTGATGTCAGCCCTCATCGCGCCTCCCACAACCGTGATCCTGTTAGCTAGCCGCTCTCCCAACCTATGCCTCCTCCCCCCCCCATCGCCCTCGCTAACGTGGCCCATTAGTTTCTTATGCCTGCATACGTCAGAGTTGCTCCGCTCGACAACCATCCTGCCTATATTCCCTCTGTCACTCCATCAGCATCTTGCCTCGTCGCGGCGGTACATAGCCCCCCTTCATCTTTTCCTTCACGCCCCTAGCCCTACATCTCCCCTATCCACCCCGGTATCTTGTCTCCATAAATTCGCCCTCTCATTGCACCCATACCAATGCCACTTCACGGTCCCCCTCAATCCTCCCCCCCGATTACTCTTCGCCCTCCCCCTATCTTCCATTGCACTCCCCCCTCCCACATCCCGCTTTTCCCCCCTCCCTCACTTCCCCCCCTCTCCCTCTCTCACTTCTTTCAATCCTGCTGTACCTATCATATACGCCCTCACCTTCGCCCTTACAGAGCCACCTTGCATGTCGCCATCATTCACCGGGCCTACCCTACCCACTCCACCTCCCCGCTTCTGTTATTGTAATAAATGGATTTCTAAAATTCTTGTTGAGCTAACTTGACGACCACCTTGCTCAACTCCAATTCAAGAGCTTCCGGCACCGTGCCGAGCCAACCAATTCGTGCATAGCCTTGAATTACCGGCTGAATGTGTGTGGGAAGTGACGGGGGACCATCGCGCTGAGGCTTGAACAAGGGACAAGGAGTTCCGTAGAACGAATACCACCATGCTTGATAGTCTTCATCTGGTGGTGGAGGTGCAGAGCTGAAAGTTGTGTTCCATCATAAACTCTTCACATCAGGAAGGCGTTTCTCTCAACGCACACGAAGCACGTACGCTTGCGACTATGCCTTTTCAATCCTCAATTTTCTCTATTCTCCTCTTCTCAGCTCTCGCGCTCCGTAGACACGCTGTAACTGAGGGCTCTTTGTAAACAGCGGAACGCACTAATCCCATTTAGCAATGAAATAAAAAAAAGCGAAAACACGGTGCAAAGCTGAACTCGTAACAGATAATAACCGTGTGTTTTGCTGTGCGAGACAACGGGGAGGTCAGAACAGACACTGAAGAGGGCCATAGCGCTTTCGCTAGTTACTGCGAAGCTGCGAAAGTGGGATGATCTTGCGTACTTCTTACATCCTGAGAACAGACTATCCGTGCAAGGGTTACGAATTGCTCGAACGCGATTACTGTCTTTAGTAGAAGCCAAAAAAACGTGTTTTCTTATTGTTATACAACTCAGGCTAGGTAAGGCGGCGTTCAGACGCGACGGCAGCGTTTCGACGCGATCGATGGCCATGTTTTCGACTTTGCGTCGATCGACGAAAGCATGCGCGATGCCTGCCTAAGATGGAACCGCTTGCGTTAGGTCGATGTTCCAACTAACCCGTTTACAAGACCTGAAAATGGCTCGATGTTCGCTGTTTGCAATCCGGATTCAATTCTTTGGGCCTTCAATAAACTAATTTCAGAGCACGAAAACGACAGCGATTCTGATTCGGATTGTGAGCTGCATCCATCTCTATTGGGTGGATCACGTAAAGGTGCACGAAGTCCTGACGTAATGGACGGGACAGAAAATGCAGCTGGCCCTAGGCGACGCCCTGCATCTCCATCTCCTCCACGTGTCACAGCACATCGTCATGACTACGATATGAGCACGGTGAGAACTATACTTTTCATTTCCAACTGGTATATCAATTCAGCTTAACGTTTTCAGAGTAACGATATCTATGCGTCGCTGTTCAAGAGCCTCAGTAAGGTGTCTACGGAGCGCGAGGAAGCTGAGAAGAGGAGAATAGAGAAAATTGAGATTGAAAGGCATATCGCAGCGTACGTGGCTTCGTTTTCTTTGAGAGAAACGCCTTCCTGATGTGAGAGTTTATGATGGAACACAACTTTCAGCTCTGCACCTCCACCACCAGATGAAGACTATCAAGCATGGTGGTATTCGTTCTACGGAACTCCTTGTCCCTTTTCAAGCCCTCAGCCGATGGTTCCCCCTCCTCCAGATCTTCAGCCGGTAATTTCAAGCTATGCAGAATTTGTTGCTCGTCACGGTGCCGAAGCTGAATTGGAGTTGAGAGGTGGGTCGTTCAAGTTACTCAACAAGAATTTTAAAATCCATTTATAAATTCAGAGCGCGTGGATCTGCAACTGACGTTCATGCACCCGCATAGTCCTCACTTTTCCTACTACCAGCACCAGGTTCGCTTGGTTCAATGGGATCTTGCAAGGAGAGCTATAGAGCAGGCAGAGGAACTAGCTCGAAATGTGCGTTTCTCTTTTGTATTGAAGTAAAGTTTGGCATGATATTTTCGGTTCGTTTGCAGGCTGAGATGCATGAAGCAGAAAATGGGACCCCTACAGTTGTGGAGGGTACGAGTGAAATTATCCAGTCGGAGGAGGTCTGCGCACCTTCGACATCCTCTCCACTACCACAAGGTACTTATTGCTTAAGATAAACCGGCTGGTTTTCCGTTGTATCGTATTATCAGAGGTCTAAGCGGAGGTGGTGTAACGCAAGTGGCTCGCCACCACGCGCATGGTCCGGGGATCAAATCCTTGGTCGACTTCGCCCAAACCAACCAGGATCTCTACCCCGAGAATGAAAACTGATACAGATTCGTCTGGGAGGATAACAACCTGACTGTCATCTGGCTGGCCCCACAAGTCATTGTATGGGCCCCATCACAGAGCCTTCTTCTGGTTGAGATGGCAGGCTACATTACCCAGGGCACGTCCTAGCGGAAAAAAATTTCGCTGGATACGAACCCGCCCCAACATTCGTCACCATTCCTACTCAGTTACACCCCTCCCCCAATTCAACTTACAAGCTTCCTAATATCACCCAACTTCCTACTACTTTTTTAGAGATAATCTTTTCCGGAATTCTACAGTTTTTCCAAAACCGTCCGGCGAGGGAGGGGGTGTATAACGCACGTGCGTCCCCCACCCTACAACGGCTCATTACGACTTCCCTCACTGAAATCCCCAACACACTACGTGCCTTGACAATAGCGCATAGACAGAGTAACCAGACACCGACAGCTGCTCTAGGCTGTCGGATTCGTGCCTCGGAGGGTGTTCATAGTTCGCGATTTGAACCCGACACACGACCTACTAGCAACTGAGTCGCTCAGTACGCTTATCAAGCGACTGTAAGCGAGGGTTTCATATCAGGTTTTCACCGGTTCCCGTTATCGGGCTAAGAAATTCCAACTTACTTTCGAAAGTAATCATTCCTACTAAATTTTTTATAGATCCCGCTGTTCCACTGTTGAATAGAAAGCAGAGGCGGAGACTCCAAGATGGTTTTCGTGTAGCAACCACTCAACCTGTAGGAATTGTAGATCCAGTGGCTGCGATAGCGTTAGCCGATCCTTTCCACGTGAGTTTAAAACCACTTCGTCAGCCTATCCATCTTGTTCATCTTGAAAGCCTCTGAAAAAAACATCAACTTTCAGATACCGAAAGTGAGTTCATCGCCTGCGCTTCTTACCACCCCAGTAGTTCAGCCAATTGCGGAAGATGCCGGAGCCGTGAGTGACGGCGGTACATCAGCCGTGCAGCCATCTAGACCATTCCCCTCCGTTCCTGTTTCTTTCACTCTAGCTCCTATAAAGGAAGAGCTTCCGTGTTCGTCAACTGGGTGAGTGTGCTCCGATCGACTTTGTACCGATTGAGGTTTTCATCCATACTAATAAGAGGGAATTATATGAGTTGTTTTTTTAAGGCTCGCGATCGCGGACGATCCTGCCAGTGGTGTGCTCGTTGACGTACGCACTTTATCACCGCTTACTATAGCTCAGCAACCTATGACAAGTCCTCACGTATGTTGCAGTTGATCTTTGGGTGACGGAGGGGGCATTTTGCCCTTTTACTACTTCCCCTCAAGCCACCAGCTGGAGACCTGAAATCTTGTGAAGCCCCGAAATGATGTCAGTCAAAGTGTGGAGTTCGCCTGACAACTCTTGTAAAGCCATGAAACACCGTTTACCATGGTGACTCAACGGGTTGCTTCAGCTTCGCAAGATTTCACGGGTTTTCACTAGAGTGAGGCATTGTAAATCGGAACTAGTGAAGAGCGGAAGTGCAAAATACCCCCCCCCCCGTCGCCAAACAGGGTCAATGTTTTCATTGTTCACTTAAATGTTGTGAGTTACTCGATGCTCTCGTTTAAGATACTTCCACCTCCAGTTCCACCAAACATTCCAAGCAACACCCAGTTGGATAGGAAAGAAAAGGTAGGTTAGAGAAGCCTATACAATTGTTCATGAGCTTCTCCTTTTTTTCTCAAAGCTAAACCGTAATTCTTTTTATTCAAGTTATTTTCAAGGCTCGCATTTTCATGGAACGGCTGCTGAATGAAAAGCGTGTCAAAAAACTCCGAGAACAAGAAGAAGCACGAATTCGAGAGCTCGAAGCTCAGAAAGCTGAAATTGAAAGAGTAAGTTGATCAGGCTTTTCAACCATCGGGTCACTTATTTGTCGTGTTTTACAGCAACTGGCTGAAGAGGATGCGAAAAGGAAAAAAACTTCCTTAGAAATGGTGGACAAATTGATTGACAGGTACGTTTCTTATCATCTTGAAAGCATTAAGGCAGTGGGCACGATTGCTGGAGGCGGGTGGTTGTTGCCAGCGTCATTGGTGGAAGGGCTGCGAGAGGGCGTTTGGCCACTCCCCACTCAGCCCTTCCATCCAATGATGTTGGCGGCAACCGCCGCCCCCAGCCATCGTGCCCACTATCTTTGGATATAGCGGTTTTCTTTCGAAATTTCCTATTTCCCTATCTCTTTCAGCCGCATTGGTGCACTTCTTGGAAGGGTTGAAACGAAAAAATCCGAAGACAAAGCAAAACTACCGTCACGCTAAGCGAAGATGAAGCCGAAAAAGATCGTGATGATATGCGCGGGAAACGGAAGAAAGAGAAGAAGGAGAAAAAAGAGAAAAAGGAAAAGTCCAAGAAACACAAGCATAGGAAGTCGAGGAGGTATAGTTTTACATATTGTCGTCTGTGCTAAGGCAGTTGGTCTTTGTCTAGAGTAATTGGGATAAGAGGGGAGGGTCTCTGGTCTGTAGCGAGGCTCAGCCACGTCTTTTTTGCTCATCTTTTCCACGAGATAGTGTTCAGTGGGATCTGATGAAGCAGACACGATCAGAGAATCGGGTTAAAGCCTTTACGTTGTAAAAGTTACCGAAAATGGTTTGCTCTCTAAATAATGCTGCGTCAATACCTTGCGACGCGGGAATCGAAATTTCACAGGAAGGGGTGTACTTATTGATTTGGAGAATCGCGAAACCCCCGAAGAAGATTAGATAGTTATCGATTGACCCCACAAAGTTGGAGAGTCATCGAATCAGAAGCCATTCGATCCGTAATCTGTTTTGCGGATTCTCCATTCCTTTCCTTTTCCGTAGATCCTTGACGCTCTCCCTTTCACGTATTCCCCGGCTTTTCTCTTTTCACTGTGATTTCACACATTACTTATTAATTTCAGTAGATCTCGTAGCAAGGAAAGAGAGAAGAAGAAAAAGCGGAGACATTCAAGTGATTCCCGGAGTAGAGAAAGGTAAGTTTATTGTCTACTCCACCAATCATCTGCAAGTGTTCCGTTCTTTCGTTGCAGGGAGTCAAAGAAACACAAGAAGGACAAAAAGGATCGTCGATGACGATAGTGATATGATGTAGTAGACGTTGTATTGATACTGGTTGAATATGTTTACAAGTAACTTGTTTTGATGTTGTTGTTCATGTGAAATCCTATTCAAATAAATGTTATCTAATTTTCTTTGAAACCAAGAGGAAGATATCTTCATGCGTAATGAACTTGTATCCATCTTCGGCCGTGATTGACATTCCATTTTCCTGAAAATAGACTTCTGCACTGATGTAATGGCCCCTATTTGTTAGACGCGGTCCAGTACTTACGCGTTAAGAGATAGATGACATACCGATGACGTCATGTAGGGTGTTGATGACGTGTCTTGTCACATTGGCAGATATGTTACACAAGTTACTTCGTGATGGAGGTGTTACAGTCCTGTTCGTTGCAGATGGTGGGTGGGGGTGTTCAAGGGGTTGGATTTGGAGCGATGACAGTTCGTTTTTCACTCGTTGTCGCTTGCCTGTTTCAACAAAGGATAGACAACAGATTGCCGCTGCGCCAAACCCAGCCCCTACCAGGACATGCCTCAAGGTTCGAAGCGAGGGACAGTAACACCTTCATCGCGAAGAAATTTACGTTGCATCATTGCCAAGACACGTCACCAGCACGTTAAGTGACGTCATTTGCACCATCTCATCATCTTTCTCTTGAACAGGGGCGCTGGACCACGTTTGCACTGAACAAGACTTTTGTGGTACAATATGTCATCTCCTTAATTTTAGCAGCTAACGGACATGTGCTACATCATGAGCGGCTCTATGAAATATCTGGATGAGGCTGAACATGTGTCTGCCTCCTCGGAAGCGTCTGGAAGCCGTTCGGGCAAGGGGGAGGGGATTTAGCACATTTGCTTATTTCTTTGCTATTTCCTGACGAATTACATGTCTATTCTTGCCGAGATCCTGCAGAATTTTGCCAAGGGCAAACGTAGTGCTACCGTACAGCTTCACAGGAATTCACACGCCTCTGACAATGATCGATGAGAACCACCATAATGCCCCCTCCCACCCTTCTACCAAATTGCACACCCCCTCCTTTTATGATGGAAAGGATGGTGGTTCTCCGCCCATATGATCAACGCAAGAAGTGCCTTTGATTCCTTGCATTGGTAGCTTGGTTCCACTCTCCGACTTCCCCTACGCTTCGAAATCCGTCAATGTGAAAGGGGTACAAAATTGTCTGCACAATCGACATTCGTTTTCCACACTCCATATCCCAGATATGGAACGGGCGTGGCTGCAGGCTTTATTTCGAAGTGGCGACGGCTACACTTGTAGCACGATTTTTTTTTCGCTTTGGGACATTTGTAATAATGTCCTCGTTCAGCGCAACGCAGAATGACATTTGTTTCATATGAAAATATCCCATTAGAAGCGCATCATATCTCCTCTCGCCATGTTCGAATGAAGAACTCGGCCACACCCTCCTAATCTTCAGGATATGGCGCCAAAGAGGCCTAACCTCTAGTGATTCCTCGATATGACTCCGTTGCAGACGATGGCATTTGAACACTTTTCCACCGAAGTTGTACGTCGTAGCGTCTGTTACACCGCCTTGAAGCTGTGATTGGGAGGATAATGTGGACAGACTGGCACTTCACAAAAAAAGCTAGAGCTCACCAGGTATCCTCCACATTCAATAAGACTACATGCACCTCGTACTGCTCGTTTGTATCCCTCAAGTGTTTCGCAAGAGTACTCCAGGCAAAATACTGTGGATACCACCTGTAAAGGGATCATTTTATGGTTCAGGGTGACTTAAAGACACATGGTACGATCACACATAGTTTGGGTGTGCGTGACTATCAGCCCCCCAGCTGTCGAAGCGTAGCGGTTTCCCCGTCCTAACATGCGCAGGAATGGAGATACAGGACCGTGAAACACGCTAATTCCTCCATGCTCCGCCCAATGCCTTTTGCGGCGCAGACTCCCGTTTATGCTAACAGCCGTCCGCGCGGCGTGTCGCGCGCAGCGCTCTTGGCACTTTGCCAAGTCCTGTAATTGCGCTTTGGAATACAAGTAAAACGCAATTTCCTGATGCGGATAACATTTGAGGTGTTGCTCATGCTGCAAAGTCCGAATAGAAGGTGATGAAGATGACAAAGGCTAGAAATGAAGAACAACGAATGTAGATGTAAATAAAACAAAAATGAAAAAATCAAGGAAATGCAAATAAATTAATAATCGCGTGTAAATGTCTGCAATTCGGCGCGATTCCGGCTTTTTATTTTCATGTTCTGTGGGAATGCGCGGCCTCCGAGGGATACTGCAGAAGCTGCTCTTGAGTTCTGGCCCTCGTCATCATCTTCGGTTCTTATTTTGCAGCACCTCAAATGTTATCCGCATCAGGAAATTGCGTTTTACTTGTATTCCAAAGCGCAATTACAGGACTTGGCAAAGTGCCAAGAGCGCTGCGCGCGACACGCGCCGCGCGGACGGCTGTTAGCATAAACGGGAGTCTGCGCCGCAAAAGGCATTGGGCGGAGCATGGAGGAATTAGCGTGTCCTGTATCTCCATTCCTGCGCATGTTAGGACGGGGAAACCGCTACGCTTCGACA